ATCTAATCTTACATTTAGATTACGTAAAACGTAAACGTAAGAAAATCAACAGGTTGGATTTTTACTACTGCTTGCGTCATTGCCTTACGTTCTCGACTGTGATTGGTCGATTTTCTTATGCTTACGTTTTACGTCCTTACGGAATTTTATGTGTGACGGCCTTAAGCTGGAAGATGTTCATCCCGCCCTTGCCTAAGCACAGCGGATGGTCCGAAGGCTGGACGCTGATGTGCGACGTTCTGCTAGGGCTGCCTCTGTCGATTGTAACTTGACTGGTTTCGCTTGAATCTTCGACAGATGCAAATCCCGTTGACCTGTGCTGGATTTTCCCTGATTCCTAGAAGTCTGGTAACAAAGAAAATATTCGAATAAACGTATCGATATGTTCTAGTCGATATATCAAAATACAATCTAATACTTATACTAATATTGATGAGTAAATTGATCTCGATATCAAGTAGATTTAAAACAAACTTACATTCAGAAATTTGCCGAATGTTAAACAAGAAGCTTACCGAACAGAAATACTTGTTACCTTACATAAAAATACTTATATTGTCTCCCGTTTTGCATTAAATGTAACGTTAGTCTAAAGAATCTAAAAACTTTTGAAACCCAAACGAGAGATTCTTTTCAAAGCAATCTTGAATGATTTCTGTACTTTTTTACCTGCTGATGCATAGAATAATTGATTGACCAGTTCCAATTACGTTTCAGATGCGCAAAGAGAGCTGAGTCGACACCAGCCGCTCCCTTACGATCTCCCGGAACCGCGCCGGTGTCTCTTTTCGCGGAGTCTTTGGGAAGACACGCCGCAATCGCCTCTATCATGGCACTCTTTTTGCTTAAATCCTCAAGTAGAATATCTTTGCCGTGTACCACCAGTCTACCGCCAAGTAGAGTATTAACGCAAATAGTCCACATATCGTACCAGTATTTCTCCACGACCTGCAAAGAAATGCAACGTTACTTTAGCTTTTTGCTCGATTAGTCCTAAAAAAACGTGGATACTCCGTTAACGATAGAGTATTCTTTCTAGTTATTCTTTTTAATTTATTAAATCTCGAATTTTCAATACAGAGTATGATCTTCGTACAGCGGTTATTGTTTGTTAATTATAAAATTTTCATCACGTGTAATCACATTGATATAATAAAATGAAGCAGAGATAAAGCGGGAACTGGACAATCAGTATTGAAATAGATTATGTTAGAAATGTGACTATATTGATACACATGAATCTAATAATAAAGATTTCCTAAACCAACCCATACAGCACAGATGGTTGCAGTTACGTTGCAGAAACATTGCAATCTTGCAGAGACATTGCAATATAAAGTTGCAAACTTTCGATAGCAATATTGCAGCAATGTTTGAAAAATAATAAAAATACTATATTTTCTATTAAAAAAATTTTTCTAAATACGAGAATTTTATAATGCTAATTTCGTTGATACCAATAATGCCCGAATTATTAAGTACTTGATCAGTGCGGTGTGGCTCGCAATCTCCATCTATCGCGAAGCGACATAATCTCCTTAGGTTGCTTCGCAATAGCTTGCTGTGTATTGAAAAAGGCCCGGATGCATATGTAATTAGTAAATTCTCTGCTAATGTACAACAAATTATTCCAAAAATATTGCACCGCAACATTGCTATAATGTTGCACTGCAATCTCTCTGAGGGCGGACATTTCAACGTTGCTGCAATCCTCCAGAAACGTTGCAGCCATGTTGCGCAACGTCACTGCAATATTGCAATCTTGCAATGTAACATTTTTGCAATCTTCCTGCAATCTTTCTTGCTGTGTGGAAAAGGCTAATATAGTAATTTTAGCATTCTAAACAATAATACCTTTACAAGTAAAGAGCGAAGACCATATTTGGTCTCGCGATGTTCAAAGAGACAAATTCCAAAGCTTAGAGCAAATATTTAGAGATTCGTTCGTATTTCTGTAAATGTATCAAACAATAATGTGACAGTTAACAATACCTGCGTGCTTTCGAAGAGATACTTAGTCACCGGGTACGTCTTGTCCTCGATCTTAGCCCGGCGCCGAAGAGGTCGTATCCATCAATTCCGTGCGCCGGTTCACGTAGATAAACACCTGATCTTTATCTTTCAGCCGCTGTGGACCAAACTGCACCAGGCCGATATAGCCCAGTCTGGTTATCGTGTCGTGGATATTGAATATATACTTGCGCGCTTGCAGGAAAGTATTGCGTATGGTGACCTGAAAATAAAAGAAGCAATAGTTAAAAAACTAAACATTATTAACACAAATTTCTATCGCAGAGACCGCTAACGTGGTGGCGACAGAACAATCCGCGTTCAAATTCTCGAGCTTACGGGCTAGTTTCACAAATGTCGGTCAATTGTTAATAATGTTAACCACAGTTCAGTCAATTCCCCATCTTTTTCTATCTTATTGTTACTAGACGAGTCCCCTATTATGAGACAGGACCCTAATATGGGACAGTAGTAGACCGACGTATGTGAAACTGGCCCTAACATTTGACTATTTCAACCAATTCGCAAGAAAGTGACGATCAGGATTGCCAATATCTGAAACTGCTTGTTCAAGTATTCGCATTTTTAAACTTTCTATAACGCACGTACGATCCTTAAAAAGTCTCGAACTCACCGGGAGGTTTTTAACTAGATAATGCTTTCTGATTGGGTGGCTCAAATAGTGCTCCAACTCCGGGATCTGGAAGGTGATATTGTGTATCTTGGTGAAAATCGACAGAGGCAGCCCTAGCAGAACGTCGCACATCAGCGTCCAGCCTTCGGGCCATCCGCTGTGCTTAGGCAAGGGCGGGATGAACATTTTCCAGCTTACTTCGCTGTTGTAAATAGTACTGAACTCCTGCACGAGGTCGTCGTCGATTTCGTATCCGTTAAACTTGAGAATCTTCACCTGTTCCTGCTGAGATAATTTCGGCACGCCGGGATGATCGTAGACCGGGTAGAAAAGCAGTACGTGCATTGTTCGCATCCTGATGAATTTCGGGCTGAGACCGTAGCGCTTGCCAGCCTTGGCGTCGTACTTGTAGTTCGCGGAGCGCAATTTGGACGCGGTCTTGTTGAGCTCCTGCAATTGTTCCTTCGAGCCCGACGACGTCTTGTCCGCCTTGTCCACTTTGTCGTGCTTGTCCACCGTTTTCTTCGAGACCACCTTTGCCTTCTGAGACGCTAATAAGCAGAACTTGACCTTTGCTTGCTCGACGGCCGACTTAATGACGGTATGATCCGTATCGATGTTGGGATCGCAAATGAACATCAAGTTCTTCTCACGTCCATTTGCACTCAAGGTCGACTTGATGTTCTTCACAAGATTGTCCTTGGCAAGCTTCTGCAGCAGCCTGATAAGAGACTTCTTGTCAATCTTCACAACGTAATTCTCATCCTTTTCCTCCTTGTAGATCATCTTCATGAGTTTTGCCGTGTCATCAATCACTTGGTGCTCCTTCACTGTTTCGATTATCATATTGGCACGTTTTAACAATCTAAATGTAAGATTAG